TATTGAAATTAGTAATAAAAGGAGGTGCTCTCGTTGCTGAAGTGGGTTTCCTTATTTCCAACAGTTTGTTCTTTTAGCTATTAATACCTTGGGCAGAGTTGGGAGGGGTGCTGCTTTTAGTTAGTAGCTACTGATTTAACAGATGTTTATTAATAGACATGTTTTCAGGAAGGATTCTAAGTACTGGGCAGGTAGCTGCGAATTAAAAACTAAGTTGATCTCCTTGAATCTTGTGGGGGGACACATGGATAATAAAGAAATAAATGTTAAATATGCCACTGATGGCAAAGGCCATGGACACAACAAAGTAAGGAGTATGGGAGGGAAGAGGTGTTGGCTTAAGAGGAACTAAGGAAGGTCTCGCGAAGAAATGAGATTTGAGCAGAAAACTGAATGAAGTGTGGGATCAAGGCAAGTGTCTACCTGGTTTAGGAGGATTTCACACTAAGAAAATACCAGCTGTGAAAGAAATGTGTTTAGGTCAGTGGTACGCTCGTTTCCAGTTGCTGCAGTAAAGTGCCAGCACTTTATTGACTTGAATAATAATTTATTCCCTGAGTGTCCTGGACTTAAGAAGTTCTAAAATCAAGGTGCCAGAGGAGCTGCATTCCTGCTAGAGGTTCTCTGGAGGAATCTGCTTTTCCGAATGCCATTTGTACTCCTTGGTGCATGGCCTCATACTTTGTCTTCAATGCGTAGTATTTCCCAGTTTCCCAGTATCTCTCTCCTACCCATCTGTCCTCTCCCTCCCTAACCATCTTTGTGATCCCTTTGACTTGATTGTGATTCTCCTTGACTTAATCATGCCTGCAAAGTCTCTTTTTGCCATGTAAGACAACATAGCCATAGGACAGTGGTGTTTTGGGTAGCCGGCATTGTTCTGACCACCACAAATAGTTTGCAACCTTGACTGCACGCTAACGTCACTGGGGAGCTTTAGAAAATTCTGGCACTCAGCCTGTACTCCTGAACCAGAGCCATCAAAGTTTCTGAGGGTAAGAGCCAAGGTAATTCCAATGCACAACCAAGGTTGAGTTTAGTTTCATTCTGCGCTCTCATATCTCTGTATTTGCTATACATATCTGAACACAACTGGGGATATCCTCCAGAGAGTGGTTATAATACCTGTGAAGATTCTTCCACCAGTAGCAAAATACCCCAGTCGCCTTTAAAGCACTATCCAGGATGATCTCCGTAGCCTGATTGTGTGGAATGCTGTAAGAAGAAGTAAAGTAAAGGGGATTCGTTGTAAAAGCACCATTTCCTGAGTAAATTGGATTTTATGTTTTACTTTGTAAAGGGATGTCTGTTTCTTAGCTTTTATCATTGCTTCCCTTATAAAATCCTTCTCCATTTATCCCAAGATTTTCACTTGATCTTTTCCTTTAAAACCTAACCGGTCGACTATTCTGTGAGACATTTCAGGATGCTGTGACCCACATGAAGCCCTCAGGAATTTGATTCTAATGTCATTTAGCTCTTAACCTCGATGGACTCTCTTCATACATTCCTCCTTTTATTTAACATCTTCTCAGATAGTTCAAAAACATCTTAAAGCAGAGGGCTAGAATTACATTTTTAAAATTCCCATTAGGTAAGTGTCTTTCACACAGTAGGTGGTCAATAAATAATTACTGATGATTTGAAAGTTTTCCTTTCACCCTACAACTAGACATTAATTCCTTTAGGTTTTTTTTTTTGACCCCTCATAAAAATGAATTAAAGATTGTTATTATACAATCATAGCTCCACAAGGCAGTTTCATATTAGATTACATTTGTCCACCTTATGTCGGTGTCCTTGATGTCTGAGTTTTATTCAACAATAAGCCTAGGACTTACTATAAGAATGAATACGTCAAAGTGTACATCAGCCTAGTTCTTCAAATTAATCCAGGCTGCCCTCACATCTCAGTATAGTCATGTGGTATAAACAGTGTAGTGTAAGCTGCATCTACCAGCGGGTCAATGCATGGGAGTTTGTAGTGCCCTTTTAATGCCTTTGAAAAAACAAGACTAACCCCTCCCTTTCCAAGATGAAACCCTTTGATATATCAACAAAAATGCAAGAATCTGATGTCACTGGTGATTTTCTTAATATTTTTAGAAGTACTATGAGTTGTAGTAAACATTAATAGTGCAACCAACAGATTGAAAACTCTACAAAACTTGATATATATTTTACTTTTTTCTTAGCCTATTGTTGAAATATAACCATGTTGTTTGTTTATATTGTAAAAATGTAATAAATCTTTCAGAAGTCTGTTATCTATGTTCTGTTAAACATACTTTCAGGTACAACACATTAAAATATTCAGTAATCCTCTGACAGTGGAGTAGAACTAAATGTGAAATATGCGATATTTTATAATTAGTGTCGTGATTCTTTCATGTTCAGTATTTTATGCCTTAAGCTTTTTACTATATAGGATTACAGAGAGAGAATGCTTACCCTGTTGTATATAAAGTGAATTTAGAATTTAAAGTGATTATAAGTTTTGGGGAGAATATCCATATCTTATGTGTTTACCTTGTCTTATGTCTACTTTTGAATTTTCCATTTTCATAATTACTATGAAGGAGATTGGAAAAGAAGAAGTCATGAGAAAGATCATGGTTCTGAAAGTCACAGAATGGTATTAACTTAGGAAAGCTTGGTTGATAGCGCTCTGTCTTTGACAACCCAGAGACTGGTTCTTGTGACTAGCCTAGAGATTTTGAAAAACTGCCCTTGATCCTCAGGTAGGCACCAGAATACCAACTTAATAATTCCAGTAATAATGGTAACGCCAACACACATGACAAATAAAAGGGTTTGTCTAACAAAAGCATAATCTTCTCATAGTGGAACTACATATTATACCAAGAAATAATTAAAACAGCCTTTAATATTTTACTGTGATAAATCACTTTGCCAAGGCCTTACATATTTGAAGTCTGTTTTGTCCACATATTCCGTCTATGAGAATTAGCAGTTTCACTTGTAGAAGACACAGAATCAGGATAGTAAAAGTTGAGTATCTCTAGTGTTTAAGGAATATTTTATACAGTAATATATTAGTTTGGTGTTAGGTATGATGCTCCTAAGAATAAAATGACTCTAATTGCAGCCCATTAGATCTTCCTGCATACTGACAGTATATTTGGAATAATCTTTGTTGTGATTGGATATAGTTATAAACACTTGGAATGTGACGGCTATGTCTACCACACCTTCAGACGGTGCTTGCAGGGTAGCTGCTAATATTTCTTCATTTTCCTCTGTTCCTTAACTGCTCAACAGCACTATATTTCTTTGTTAAACACTTGCTAATACATTTTCTCAGTTTGCTGTATTGCTGACCAGGGAGAATTTCTCTGATGGATGACTTTGTATTTCATATTGCTTTTACTCTTCAAATATTAGGAGGAAATTTGCTTCCCTCACTTTTTTTTTGTTTAATTGTTTGAATTTTGAATTCATAATTTATAAAGCAAACAAGAGCTATTGTTTTTTGAAAGTCTTCTGTTTTATGTACTCCACTAGTGATGCTTGCTATAGCATGCAGTTTACTTTCAAAAAGCTATATGAGGTAAAATTGAAATAAAGGCATAAAGTCTCACAGCTACTAAGTGGTGCAATTAATATTGTAACCAATTTGTTTGATTCCAAGTCTTATTTCTTTTTATGGTTTTATTGTGTCTTAATAGAACATCTTCAGTACCTGAATACATTTTCCTTTTGCAACTTTTAATGTTAAAAATAGTATGGCTCAACATTGATTAGAGGCATTTCTTTTGGGAAGATGTTTTAAATTTTATAATGAATGATATATATGAAGGATATAATGTGGCAGTGAATGAATACTTTCTTGCCTGCCATCCCACTGATGTAGGATAAGAATGGGTGACTCTGTATAAATGCTTTGTTTATCCAAAAAACACTGCTTTTTCAAGTTCAGATCAAATTGTACATCTTATGGGAGAGTTTTTTTTTTTTTTTAACAATTCAGTATTTTAACTCAATCTAATTTTAGGTAAAACTTTAATGAAAGGATAAAGAACTTTTCATGTAACTGAAAATATTTGCCATGTATTTTTAACATCTGATACTATTCTGAATCATACTCAAGTACAAAGAAAATGTTTAATTCTTGTCCAATTGTCTAAGCCTGTTTTCATAGACGGTGGCTCATCAAAACAAAACATCTTTCTTTGGATATCTTTTCTGTGTTTAAGTATTCTAAGGAGTAAATAATTCTGAGAATTCACATCTAAATCATTCATGGATATGTGAAAATAGATTTGAAATATTTTTATCTTCTCCCCTTTAATTATACCTTGCAAATTTGATATATGAAATAAATACCAAAAACCAGTGGTTTTTGGAGAAGAGGAAAAGAAAATTCTCAGTGTTTCTCATTAACAGTGATTATAGAATTTATTTAATTCTTAATAAGCCTTAGACAAATTTCAAACTTTTTTCATTTGCTATGAGGTTTGCTTTTAACCAGTATTTCTACATTTCATAGTAATGTTACTTTTAATAAAACACAAAATTTTTATAATAGCAATCATTTATTTATTTGGTTTATTTTTTGCTGAAAGAAATTTTAGTTACTTCCTTGCTTTTTAACTGCCAACAGAATTTGCTATTCATAGATGTTCTGTCTTCAGTACGGTCTATCAAAGTGTAAAACTAGATGGGTATTTTTCTTTCCTTTAAAATAGAATGGTCTTTCATTATGCAGTGTTCTTAGGTGAATTCTCTTGTTTAAGAAGCAAGAATACAAGAGAGGGCTATATTAGTGTATTATTCTCACAACAAACAAGCACTGTTCTGTTGCTACCTGCTTGGCCATTGTTTCTGATTGTGTGTGCTTTGCAGTGGTATTTGGATGGTTTCCTGCTCTCTGCCAGCACAAAAAGGCATTTCTGTTACAATGGCCCCTAACCACACAATGACGGCATTAAGGATTTATGTGGAGGTTTCATTATTTTCTCCTCTTTTGTTCCTTCCAGGATGTCTTCCAAGCGACCAGCCTCTCCGTATGGGGAAGCAGATGGAGAGGTAGCCATGGTGACAAGCAGACAGAAAGTGGAAGAAGAGGAGAGTGACGGGCTCCCAGCCTTTCACCTTCCCTTGCATGTGAGTTTTCCCAACAAGCCTCACTCTGAGGAATTTCAGCCAGTTTCTCTGCTGACGCAAGAGACTTGTGGCCCTAGGACTCCCACTTCTCAGCACAATACAATGGTAGGTTTCTCTTGGCCTATTGTGCTACACTCACTTTTTGACCAGTCTACTTGTCTAATAGTTTGGCTTCAATCCTTGCTTTATAATTCTCATCCACTTACTAACCATGCACAAGAGACACTCCTGATGTCTTAGAATATTTTATGAGCGAATTGGCTCCAAAAGGCAACATGCGACTACTTTCTGTTCTTGTTGCTTCTTTCTTTCTTATTTCTAGGATTCCTGCTTTTAAGATATTGCAGTTTAATTGGAGGGGAGAAAAATATAAAAAGTATCAGAATAATGTCAGGGTCCCACATTTACTTTATTTTTTAAAGATTTATTTATTTATTTGAAAGTCAGAGGTACAGAGAGAGAGAGGAGAGGCAGAGAGAGAGAGAGATCTTCCGTCCGATGGTTCACTCCCCAAATGGCCGCAGTGGCTGGAGCTGCACTGATCCGAAGCCAGGAGCCAGGAGCTTCTTCCAGGTCTCCCATGTGGGTGCAGGGGCCCAAGGACTTGGGCCATCTTCTGTTGCCTTCCCAGGCCATAGCAGAGAGCTGGATTGGAAGAGGAGCAGCCAGGTCTAGAACTGGCACCCATATGGGATGCCAGCGGTTCAGGCCAGGGCGTTAACCCAGTGTGCCACAGCCCTGGCCCTGGGCTCCCTCATTTACAAGTAGTTCACATGGAAGTTTGATAACATACTCTTCTAAACAAAAAGTTGTCGAAGATAGTTTTGCAGTGAATATAGTTTGATCATTTCCACCATGATAATTCAGCGTCTTTACATTTTTGCTTTGCCCAGATTGGCTACATTATTCCTTACAGTACTTGGGATTTTGACGAGGAATACAATTCAAAGAGACTATAGTTTTCTAACAGGACTTTGCTGTTTATGCTGTTATTATTATAGCTAATTCCCTGTTGCATCCTATTCTAGACTCTGTAACTCAGGTTGATGCCTCTGGCCCTTCATTCTAGGCTCTGGATCACTGTGGGAGATTAGGAAACACAGCTTCTTGGGAGCGAGTTAAAAAGACAGCATAGCATCTTTGGCTGCAGCTCAAACAGCACACACAAATAAAAATCAGGCCTTTTTGTCCTTCCTAGCAGCTTAAGTACATAGGATTTTCACGTGAGCAAGGTAGCAGGGCACTTAGCTCCCGGTGTCACCACCTTTCCCTATCCAGCATGGCTGCTTGAGTAGAAGACGTGCTTGTGTGACCTGTGCTGTCTTTCTGCTTCAAGGATGCCAGTGCTATGAATTTGAACCTGATTATGTGAAGAAAAGGTGTTTTATTATACATTCTCATATATTTGAAGAAAGCTCTGATGCTGTTAAATCTTTGCTTTTTTGCTTTCTCTAAGAAATTATTACATATCTTAAATTGTACTTAGTGCTGAATATACCCACTTGTTCATGTAATTGAATTACTATAAGTGGAATTCAATCAACAAGAAAAATCAAATGTCTTCTAATAGCTGTGCAGTAGACACTATACTTTGTTTTCACATTAAATGTGTATATTCTGGTTCAACATTTTAAGCCTCATAAACCAAAACTTCTTTGGGTATTTGACTGTGTGCCAAGATTGTTTTCACCAAGAATAATGTTTTAGCTACCATCTATTTACCATTATATAGAAATGCTGTGTTAAGCACTTCATAATAATATGATAACTCAGTTAACTTTCACAATAAGTCAGTGGAATTTTATAATTTTATTATATAATTATTTAAAGATTTTATTTATTTATTTAAGAGGTAGAGTTACAGACAGCGAGAGGAAGAGAGAAAGAAAGGTCTCCCATCCGTTGGTTCACTCCCCAAATGGCTGCAACGGCTGGAGCTGTGCCGATCCGAAGCCAGGAGGCAGGTGCCTCTTCCCGGTCTCCCACGCTGGTGCAGCAGCCCTAGGACTTGGGCCATCTTCTACTGCTTTCCCAGGCCATATCAGAGAGCTGGATTCAAAGAGGAGTAGCCGTGACTAGAACTGGCGCCCATATGGGATGCCAGTGCCGCAGGTGGAGGATTAACCTACTGTGCTATGGCGCTGGCCCCTATTATACAATTTTATAAGAGAGAAATAGAGATATACTTGGAAAGAGAGAGAGTTGGGGAAAAAGAAAGAGACAGAGGCAGAGAGAGAATGAATGAATGAATGAATGCAATCCCATCCTCTGGTTCACTTCTCAGAAGCCCAAAATAGCCAGGATTGAAATGTGCCGGGCCAAGCCAGGAGCCAGAAACTCAATCCCAGTCTCTTTGCTGGGGCATAAGGACCCAATCACTTGAGCCGTCATTACTCCCTCCCACAGTTTGCATGAGGAGGAAGCTGAAGTCTAGATTGAATCCAGGAATTGAACCTATATACTCCATTATGTCTCACAGGCATCGTAACCATTAGGCTAAATGCCCACAGCTTGAGGCATTGTTACTAATTCTTTATAAATGAGAAAACCGAGGCACAGAAAAGTAAATAACTTGCTCAGGGCACAGCTAGCAAGAGGATGTACCCAACAGTGTGATGTGGAGTCCACTCCTCTAAGCTTTGTGCACTGCTGCTGCTTCACAGGAACGCAGGCGTACTCTGTATTCTCAATGTCTCTTATCTGGCAGTGAAACCATCCTATCTGGGGCTGATGCCGTGGCTCACTTGGTTAATCCTCCACCTGCGGCACCCGCATCCCATATGGGCACCAGGTTCTAGTCCCGGTTGCCCCTCTTCCAGTCCAGCTCTCTGCTGTGGCCCAGGAGTGCAGTGGAGGATGGCCCAAGTGTTTGGGCCCTGCACCCGCATGGGAGACCAGGAGAAAGCACCTAGTCCCTGGCTTTGGATAGGCGCAGCACCGGCCATAGTGGCCATTTGGGGGGTGAACCAATGGAAGGAAGACCTTTCTTTCTGTCTTTCTCTCTCTCTGATTGTCTGTAACTCTGTCAAATAAATAAATAAATAAATAAAAATCTTAAAAAAAAAGAAACCAACCTATCTGTAATTCCTTCCTCTTTGCTCTGCCAAGAGTTCACGTTAGTTGTGTGCAATGATATAACTTTGTCAAAAAAGGTCAAACTAGAATAAGAAAGTGGGAAAATGGGTGGTGCACAGGTAAGCAGGATAAGGAAGTCAGATTCTACGAAGCATTGCATCACAGTAATGCCTTTTCCTTCTTACTGTCTTCACCATTGCCTTTTCTCATAGATTGCTGTATTGATAATGCTTCTTACATTGTTGTTGTTTTTTTTTTTTTTTTTTTGATAGAAGTGTCAACCTATGTGTACAAATTTGCAGGGGTGAATATACACGGTGATAACTAGAATTCCAGAAAGGTAAAAGGGAGAGTATGTTAAGTATCCTCCAGGATGAGTATAGCAAAGTATGTCAAATTACAGTTATAGTGACCTGAGGGGATGCCGGCCTGCAAGTGATCAAGGGAAATGAAGCCATTCAGTTTTTGATGGTGAAATCAGTCTAACTAAATAAAACCATGAACTTATTTTTTTAAAGATTTATTTATTTATTTGAAAGTCAGAGTCACAGAGAAAGAGAGAGGGAGGGAGAGAGAGACAGAGAGAGAGAGAGAATGAATGAATGAATGAATGAGAATGAGATCTTCCATCTACTGGTTCACTCCCCAAATGGCCACAGTAGCCAGACATGCGCTGATCCGAAGCCAGGCCTACTCAAAGCCGGGAGCCAAGAGCTTCTTCTGGGTCTCCCATGTTGGTGCAGGGGCCCAATTACTTGGGCCATCTTCCACTGCTTTCCCAGGTACATTAGCAGGGGGCTGGATTGGAAGTCAAGCAGTCAGGACTTGAATTGGTGCCCATCTGGGATGCCAGTGGCATCTTTACCAGCTACACCATGGTGCTGGCCCCAAACTTCTTACTTTGTGTCAGCTTATATGTTCAATATTACAGAAATAGATTGGAATAAGACATTATGCCTTCCCTAATGGAATTTCACCTAAAACAGAAGTTTTAAAACTGGGATCTATGATTCTACTGAAAATGAATGAATAATCTGTAGATATCTGAGTAGCATTATAGTTTCTACCAGATTCTCAAGCAGATGTGCGATCCTTAAAGGATAAGATCTAGTATTCTAGAAGTTGCTGTGATTTGGGTACGTGATTCACCTTAGTGACTTCAGAACTTACACTTTGTCTTACTATGTTTTTAACTGGTTTTGAAATTTCCAGGAATCAAATATATCTTGATTCCAGCTGCTTTTCATCTCTTCGGTAGTCAGTTGCAACAGTCACCTGTGTGCTCTCAAATTTTCCAGACCTATTCAGAAATGACTTGGATTGCTATTCCTATTTTTTTAATCTACTGTGTGTCTTATTCCTTATGGAGTTTAGTCCAATACTCTTAGCTTAGCAAAATCTCTACATAGACAAGCAAAGATGATGACTGTAGTCTTCTCTGCTAGTGTGTCATTCTGTGTACCTGATGCTCCCATCACGCTGAGCCTTCCACACTTGCTCATGCATGCATCAGATGGTCTTTGAATTACATAGTTTTATTTTTTCTTCCTGGTAAGCTTTCCCTTTTGACATTTTGCCCTCTTGGTGAATGGTTTTTTTTTTTTCTTACAGGCGTGGGTTCAAACATTCCCTCTACATAGGTGGTTTTCTGAACTTCCCAAAGTGGTGTGGTTACTGCTTTCTTTTATCCACGACACTTACTGCTATCCTTTCTCATGCTCTACATTATAATTCACGTGTTTACATGCTTGCTTTTCTGTGTATTCTATTTCTCCTTGGAGGCACAGGCAAGTCTGAGATCTAGCACATAGTATTCAGTTTATGATTATTGACTAAATGGCTGAGTTTATGTGTAGTGTAAGCAGTAAATATGTTTTGGGTAATGTCGTTAAAGACACTAATTCATGGTTACTGTATTTTCTATAGATTTCACTACAGAAGTACTATTTACTTATGTGGTATATTTCAGAAAGGAAGTCATGTTACATTCAGCTAATAAACTGATTAAGATACATTTTATTTTTTATCAA